GTTTAATTTATCCATCCATCAAGTTAGAGGGTGACTGCATTCAATTTCAATTTCATTCCAATTCATTTTTCAACGGTAGTGTCAACCGCTCTTATCTATGGAATTTTAGGGTATTCAAAAAATCGAGCATGCTTATATGGATATGGTCCTCTACTGGCAGCGGTAGCAGTGTAAGATTGATGTAGGCCTCCCTGCGTGACATAGTTTTGTATTCAAGTAAAGCTGCAAAAGCTTAGAACAGCACTCATCGCCCTTAAACGGCGATGTCGCAGCGCCGGTGTAATGCTGGATATTTACACCTTCCACGGTTTTTTCCTCCTTCTTTTTTCACCCTTTTTTCTGCCTTCTTTTTTCATTCTAAGTTCGCAACTGAAATTTGGCTACATGCAATATCTCATAACCAGGCAGCTACGCACGCTCTTGCGTGCGCTAGGGGGTCTGGCCTTGATTGACGGGACAACACGAGCTTTTGATTTTCATTATAGATCTTCGTCATCTGAGCCTCTTTCCTGACACTTCTGTAGCGGCCATCATTTTTTGGGATGTGAAATGGGGCTGTGTCTGGCCATGAAGAGTATTCCGATGCACTTTGAACAGATCCGAACCAAATACCTCGGCAGTCCATATGATCGAAGAAACCCTGTGTAGCTTGGGCTGTGTTTGTAGGGATTTACACCTCTTTACGGGCTATGAATCTGTGTGGCCAGGGTTATTGTAGACTTTATTTACGCCCGGCCGACTACTTTACGTCTGGAGCTCCTCCTTTCCGTGTAAAAATACCCTGTCGCCTACATTTCCTCCAAATTTGGATGCTCTGTTACAGTTGAACAGGAGGTAATAATTTTGGCCAAGTCCACACACACACCCACATGCATACTGCAAACACTCCGTTTGCACCCCGCCCATCATGAGTTTATTTCTGCTTAACTTATCTGAGTCGTTTTAGGAAAGCAGTTGGGCTGCGCACGATATCGTCCAATGGCTTCTCATAAATGAATTCCCTCGAAGATAACCTGAAGCGTAATCGTCTTGGTAACCCAGTTACCACCCTCTTCCAAAAATGGACAACCCCAAATAATAGCGTCATAAGCCGTTTATTGGAAGCGCACATTTCTAGCAAACTGCATTTGGCAACCATTCACATTCTTTTATCTATATACTGACTGAGACAACACAAAAAGACCATCATTAGTTTCTTGTTTACCACTTACCATTGTGGAGTGCCTTTATTTCACTGGAGACGAAATGGGAGTTTATTCACACCTTGAAATCTATCCCCACCCGCCGC